AATCATAATGTAAATATCTGATATGCAGGATGTATTTAGGTGACCCCTGTGAAAGGGTTGTTCGATCCCCAAAGTGGTCGCAGCCCACAGGTTGAGAACCACTGCTCTAATTAATTCCCTTTTAATGTGCATGAATTTCGTGCACTAGGCCACTAGTACATTAAAGTTGTAATAATTACAAACAGAAGAGGTTCAAGGCACATTGAAAGAGTATAAAGGGAAAAACCAACCAAGTCTAGAGAAGTTGGAGATTAAGGGCTTCCCTGAGGAAGTGATGTTGCATTGAATTTTGAAGGAAGGGCAGGAGTTAACTAGGTGAACAGAGGGTGAAGCATTCCTGGATGAATGCTTTCTATCAGAAGAGAGGAATCATAAAGGCCAAACTTTGCAGGGCTTTTGTTCTAAGAGCAATAAGTTCAGTTTTTTATATATGACTAGAGGCCCAGTGCACGAAATTCATGCACTGGGAGGGGGAGTGTCCCTCAGCCCAGCCTCCACCCTCTCCAATCTGGGACCCCTCGAGGGATGTCCGACTGCCGATTTAGGCCCGATCCCACAGGATTCGGGACTGCTGGCTCCCAACCGCTCGCCTGCCTGTCTGCCTGATCACCCCCTAACCCAGTGATGGCGAACCTTTTGAGCTCGGTGTGTCAGCATTTTGAAAAACCCTAACTTAACTCTGGTGCCATGTCACATATAGAAATTTTTTGATATTTGCAACCATAGTAAAACAAAGACTTATATTTTTGATATTTATTTTATATATTTAAATGCCATTTAACAAAGAAAAATCAACCAAAAAAAATGAGTTCGTGTGTCACCTCTGACACGCGTGTCATAGGTTCGCCATCACCGCCCTATGGTAAGGCCAAACCCTAGCCCACACACCTGGAGGGTGGGCTCAGGTCTCCCTGGAGTACAGCTATGCCCTGTGTTTGTGAGCCCTGGAGAGTTGGCTCCAACAGGAACTGGAAACCTGGAAGAGATTACGCGGATGGGAGCTGGTTCACCCTCTGAGGAGGGAGCCCTGGGTTGCAGGAAGATGTGGTCTCTGCTTTGGAAGGAAGTTGAAGACAAATCAACTAGGCTTTCTGCTCTCTCCCACTACTTGGTGACTGTTTATTTCCCTTCTATCATCTTCAAGCTTTGGTGACTCACTGTCCACAGAGATTGGCCTCTCACCCAAGGCTGAAATTTAAGGCAGGGCTAATCCCCTTTTAGGCTTCAGGTCATAGAGAAGAGCCCCCTCATTCAAGGAGAACCTCCATCCCAGGGGAGATGACTCACCACCCACATCCCCAGGGTCCTTGTCAAATGCTACTTAATGTTTGAGTAAACTGAAGACTAAAAAAAAAATGCTCATTAGATTTATTTGCATAAAATCTAATAATAACTCTAGAAAGAGTTTTCCAGTGGAAAGATGGTGGGATAATCTAAATTAAAGCAAATGAATGAGTGGTGAGGAGATGGAGACAAGGACTGTAGAGAAATATCTTGACTATAAATGAAGAGATGAGAGAAAGGAAATTGAGAGAGACGCCAGATCAAGGGAAAGGGTTTAATTTTTAGTGAAAATATTTGCTCTAAAAATATTTAATTTTTAGTGAAAATATTTTACAACAAAGTAATAAATTTCGACTTTTAGTTTCATGGCATTTTTTAGTATAAAACTGAAAAAATGTGTATGCAACAAATGTGATCAATTTTCATCTTTTTAGTTTCTGCTTTTGCTATGTAATCATTTTTAATGTAAAATTTCTCCTACTGATAGTTGACTGCTTTATCTATTAATGTATTTTATTTTATCCTTTCCCAACATTTCAGTGGTTCACATTTTATATGCATTTTTGTGGCTGTTTTTCCTCTTATACTGTGATTAATCGTGATGAGATGCTGACTTGTATCACAAAGCTTTTCTAAAGCAAAAAATAAAAATAGCCTATTTTCAAATGTCTGTAACTGCAGGAAAAGGCATAGAGTATTAGTTAACGTGAAGGTGGTAGAGTTTTCCCGCTGTAACAGAACATAGAGATCAGCAGCTGGAATGATACAAGTAATTATTTCTCATTCAGGTTAGTCTCCTGAAGTGAGCATCCCAAGTTGTTAGATAGTTTTGCTCCTTGAATCCTAGGGCCTTATCCTAACAGTGTGGTTGAAATTTGGAGGAAAAAAACCCAAGAGCTCTAAGGCAAGCAAATTCTTTCACTTAGCAAGGAGATGAAAGTTGAACATATCCCTTCTGCTTGTGTCCCATTGATAACAATTGGTTCACCTGTTTACACCTGGCTATGAGGGAAGCCGAGAAATGTCGTCTCTAGCTGGGTTCTCGTGTGCACAGAAGAAAGGAGAACTGGTTTGGGTAACACAGCAAGCAGTGTGCCACTTCTGGGAGAGTTTGTGTGAATCTACCTACACAAAGAAGTGCGGAGTTTACAAAGAATTTCTCCTGAATAGAGTTATTTTAAATTAAATGTTTTGCTCACTTTGAAAATTACTTTTACAAAACCCCATAAAATAAAAAGCAAATGTTTGCATCCAGAGGAAAAATGTGAAGTTCTGTGTACTGATATTCCCTTTTACTCCCCTAAATTTCTCTTCAGATTCACACTCAATGACAGAACCCTTGGCCGGATTGTCACAATAGCAGAGCCATTCAACACTGAACTCCAGCTCTGGCAGGTATGGGGACCAATTCCTCTAGACTCGTCTCAGAAGTGACAAAAGTAGCTTTTCTAAAAATCAGAGACGGCATTTTCTCTATTAAGATCAGAGAAGACAAGGATAAAGAAATAATCCCTATATCTAATTAAATGTATACCTATATTTTCTAAATTGAAAAAAAAATTTCAAATAAGCAAGAAACAGACAAAGTTTGAAACTTGAGAAAGGTGAGCTTTAGATGTCTGCATGAGACCATCCTGCTTATAACACATGAACATCATGTCTCTCCTCTCCGGCAAATGTCACCCTGGAATAAGTTGGTCGAGATGTGATTTTTTTCAGAATTCATCACTTTGGAATTTCAAAACTTAACCAAAATCTTTGAGGTTTCAAACATGTCAGTTCCCAGAGGGAAAAAATGTATATTCATGTTGGACACATTGTATGGACTTTCTGTGTATTAGATATCGGAATGTTAACATTCTTCTCTGTGTTAAGAAACAAAATAGTTCTTATTTTTGTAAATAGTAAATAATACTAGAGTTGAGCTTTGGGGAGAGTTTTGGAGGAAATTGGAAGGATAGAACCAGGTTTAACAAAGATTTTTTTATGAAAAAGATTTTCTTTCAGCCCTAACCAGTTTGGCTCTGTGGATAGAGCCCCAGCCTGTGGACTGAAAGGTCCTGGGTTCGATTCCCAGTCAGGGCACATGCCCGGGTTGCGGACTCGGTCCCCAGTAGCGTGCGTGCAGGAGGCAGTCAATCAATGATTCTCTCTCATCATTGATGTTCCTATCTCTCTCTTCCTTTCCCTTCCTCTCTGAAATCAATAAAAATATATATATATATTTAAAATTTGTTCAGTTCACTTAACAAGTGAACTGGAAGTATATTAAAATGCTCCTGCCCCCTGGGATGAAAGGCTAAGCAAAGCCATCATTCCACAACCCAGATCTCCAAGGACTGCCCTGAGGCATGCACAGAAAGTAAAGAAACCAGCAGAAGCAGGAATGGGCATGCCAACTGCTATTATGCTGTCCTTCCTCCCCAATATGTTGGAGTCTCTAGTGGCTTGACGTGCTGTCAGGCGTCCAAGAGCCATGGATGATTATGGCTGTTCTGAGAGGCAGGCTCAATCTAAATGATGGACCAAAAGATGCATCTCCATGTTGTGTCGTGATACTGAATTTCCAGGGAAGAAGCAAACAGATCCAGTTTTGTAAATAAAATTCTAGAAGAATAATTGTGCTTGAAATGACTTCCTTAATTATTTTCCTCTCTGTTATAGATGGAGAGTTTCTTCAAAAAATACCCAGAAGCTGGAGCAGGAGAAAAACCTAGGGAGCAAGCGCTGGAAACAGTGAAAAACAATATTGAATGGCTAAAGCAAAATAGGAAGAGCATAAGCGAATGGTTTGGGGCATTACCCAGGAGTGGATAAGGTGTTCAAATAGCATTTTAATTCTGTAAATGTCTTGTTTCTACTATTAAGCATTTGGTGACCCAATTTACAAGCTCTGTGGAGGAACCTTATACACAGATACTGCTTTCACTAAGGAATGTACTCAGGGATTTCTTCTAAGTGTACTTCATAGGAGATTTCTTTACCAATGGAAGAGAATTTAATAGCCATTGGAAATGTCTTTAAATATCACTCTTTGTATCTTAAGTCTGTGAAAATAGAACAATTTGGTCCTAGCTTTACATTTTTAGTGCCAAAGAAACACCACTAATCTTTTCTCTTGATTGATTTTTAAAGTTTGAATACCAGTATTTGAGGGACCAATATTACCATCTTAAACTTCATTTTATGATTCAGAATTATACAGATCTAATACCATTTTATTCACATATGTCTTATTCCTTTAAATCCTACCAAAGTAACTGGGCTTAAATTTTACTTAAGAATTGTATAAATTAGCCAAAGAAATGGCTGACTGTTGCCGTTGCTCTTGTAAAATCAACGAGAACCCTCTTCTCCTTTTTAAAATAAATCTGAATGATTACCTTGAAAAAAAAATATGTTGTTTTTCTGTGTCACTTTACTCTTGAATAATAACAGCTGCAGTGTTCCCCAAATAATTTAGCACAATGCAACTCTGATTCAAGAACTCAGCCTTTTTCATGCTTGCTACTGCATCAACTTGTTCCATTCTCTGCAAAGCTCCCTCAAATATGCTATGAAATTAGAGGGAAGATAGTGCTTAACTCTGCTCCATGGCTTTTAGAGGAAAAGGGGGAAATAATTGGAAACTGGTCAGGAAGAAGCAAAGGCTGATTGTTCTATAAAACTAAATGGAATTCGAATTTAGTTTCAACCTAACCTAACAATCTAAGTGTGAAAATGAGGAAACTCATGGATAGCTCCAGCATGACTCTGCATATCTGAAGATACATCTTCTTATAGTAACATTTATGTATAAACCCCTACCCTAATCCATACAGAATAGCATGGATCACATTTATATCCGTAACTTGATTAAAGACATCAGTTATGTTTAATATGGTACTTGATGCCTAGTTGATCCACAATTTAAGTCCAGTAAGCAGAAAAGATGGTTAAATTACTATGATCCAATCTGCTATCTCTAGAAAATCTAAATTTATTGGAACCTTCAGAAGTATAAGATCATTTAAGATTGGCTTGATGGTAATTGAAGCACGGGGAAACCATCCAAATCTTAGCTTTGACTTTATTTACATAATAATGTGCCCTAATCGAGTTCTCTCAGACTTTCTTACTGCTGTCTCTTGTCATTCCTCAGCCCACACAGCTAAACTTGAGCAAACCAGCTAGGGCACAAGCACTGCTTTTAAATGACCAGGTACTGTTCTAAACACTAGCACTCCACATGTGTTAATTTTTACATTTAAACTTTACAAAAAACCTCTGCTGTCTCTTGTCATTCCTCAGCCCACACAGCTAAACTGAAATATTCAAATATAGACTGGGAAGAAATAAAAAAATAAAAAGAAAGAGATTTCCAGACCAAAACTTTAAAAAATATTATTTTAAATTACTTCAGAAGAGAAAACACATCAGCACCATAAATCATCAGTGTGCTCATGGGGATTCAAACTCTAACTTCCAATTAACCACAATCCAAACCAGCACTTGAAGTCTCTGTATTGTTTCAAGTATACCAATAAGGACGTAGGGTGGCTTATCTTTCTGCTTTATGTAATAAATTAACTTTTAAAGAAAAAAATGTAAGATGATAAGTAAAAAAGATTTCAACTTGTCTACCTGTTTCATTTTAAGCACGGAAATTGAGAATGAGCTGGTTAGTTCTCTTTACCGACGTGAGGAAGAGCTCTGCCCACTTTGCCGTAATTACTCCACTGGCCCATCGGGCCCTTCTCAAACAGTATCTGGTTTTCACAATGTTGATGACCAGCCCTGGCCGGTGTGGTTCAGTTGGCTGGGTGTCGTCCTGTGCACCAAAAGGTTGCCAGTTCAAGTCCCTGTCAGGGTACATACCCAGGGTGAGGACTCTACCCCTGGTAGCGGGTGTGCAGGAGGCAGTTTGATCGATGTTCTGCTCTCACATCGATGTTTCTCACTCTGTTCCTCTTCTTTCCTCTCTCTCTAAAAAAAAATCAATTAAAAAATCTTGAAAAATAAAATAAAAGGCTGATGACCAATAGACCTGTGCCGAGCACAACTTGCTACTGTACGAACTTGGTTTTGCCACAGTTTTCACAAGGGGAAATATTAGTACATTGTTTCCAAAATTAAACTACAGTAAAACCATCAACTTTAAAAATGTAACTGGAAAAAACGATCAGCAAGGTCATATGGCAAGAAGCAGGGCCAGTGATACTACCTTCACTCTAGGCCGCCTACTCCTGTGTTTCAGACCATTGCTATGCACCCACATAAAGTAAGCCAGAACTTTAAATAATAAATGATGAATGTAAATATGACAAGCAAGGAAGGTCTGGGAAACAGAGATATACAGCAGAGTTGAAGGCAATGGCATTCCTACAGTTCACCTTCCATGCTGGTGAAGTATTAGTCCAGAAATAGATAAATATCCAGAACAGTAATTCTCAAAGGAGGTTAGGAATAAGGAAGAAACAAAAGGAAGGGGAGTAGAATTATCAATGGAGTTTTCCAAAACATTGCTAAGTAACAATAATAGTAATAACAATACTAGCAAGCACTTCTTTTTATTTTATTTATTTATTTATTATTGATTTCTGAGAGGAAGGGAGAAGGAGAGAGAAACATCAATGATGAGAGAGAATCATTGATCGGCTGCCTCCTGCACTGCCCCCCTACTGGGGATCGGGCCCGCAACCTGGGCATGTGCCCTTGACAGTAATCGAACCTGGGACCCTTCAGTCCACAGGCAGATGCTTTAACCACTGAGCAAACCAGCTAGGGCACAAGCACTGCTTTTAAATGACCAGGTACTGTTCTAAACACTAGCACTCCACATGTGTTAATTTTTACATTTAAACTTTACAAAAAACCTATGCGGTGGTACTGTTACTACCTCTAATTTACAGATGCAGAAACAGAAGTTACAGAACTTGCCCAAGGCCATAAAAGTAGTAACTGGCACCAGCCAGGATTTGGACATAGGGAGTTTATCACCAGAGCCTATGTTCTTAACCACTCTGTTGGAGTAGAAACACACACAGTAAAATGAGAGTGATCACCCTAACTGGTTTGGCTCAGTGGATAGAGCGTCGGACTGTGGATTGAAGGGTCCCAGGTTCGATTCCAGTCAAGGGCACATGCCCGGATTTGGGGCTCGATCCCCAGTTGGGGAGGCAGTGCAGGAGGCAGCCTATCAATGATTTTCTCTCGTTAATGTTTCTATCTCTCCCTCTCCTTTCTGCTTTGAAATCAATAAAAATATATTTAAAAAGTAAAATGAGAGTGATCTGGGTTTGAATTTCAGCTATTTGGCAGGTGCCCTTAACAGTTGGCTGGGTGTCGTCCTGTGCACCAAAAGGTTGCCAGTTCAAGTCCCTGTCAGGGTACATACCCAGGGTGAGGACTCTACCCCTGGTAGCGGGTGTGCAGGAGGCAGTTTGATCGATGTTCTGCTCTCACATCGATGTTTCTCACTCTGTTCCTCTTCTTTCCTCTCTCTCTAAAAAAATCAATTAAAAAATCTTGAAAAATAAAATAAAAGGCTGATGACCAATAGACCTGTGCCGAGCACAACTTGCTACTGTACGAACTTGGTTTTGCCACAGTTTTCACAAGGGGAAATATTAGTACATTGTTTCCAAAATTAAACTACAGTAAAACCATCAACTTTAAAAATGTAACTGGAAAAAACGATCAGCAAGGTCATATGGCAAGAAGCAGGGCCAGTGATACTACCTTCACTCTAGGCCGCCTACTCCTGTGTTTCAGACCATTGCTATGCACCCACATAAAGTAAGCCAGAACTTTAAATAATAAATGATGAATGTAAATATGACAAGCAAGGAAGGTCTGGGAAACAGAGATATACAGCAGAGTTGAAGGCAATGGCATTCCTACAGTTCACCTTCCATGCTGGTGAAGTATTAGTCCAGAAATAGATAAATATCCAGAACAGTAATTCTCAAAGGAGGTTAGGAATAAGGAAGAAACAAAAGGAAGGGGAGTATAATTATCAATGGAGTTTTCCAAAACATTGCTAAGTAACAATAATAGTAATAACAATACTAGCAAGCACTTCTTTTTATTTTATTTATTTATTTATTATTGATTTCTGAGAGGAAGGGAGAAGGAGAGAGAAACATCAATGATGAGAGAGAATCATTGATCGGCTGCCTCCTGCACTGCCCCCCTACTGGGGATCGGGCCCGCAACCTGGGCATGTGCCCTTGACAGTAATCGAACCTGGGACCCTTCAGTCCACAGGCAGATGCTTTAACCACTGAGCAAACCAGCTAGGGCACAAGCACTGCTTTTAAATTACCAGGTACTGTTCTAAACACTAGCACTCCACATGCGTTAATTTTTACATTTAAACTTTACAAAAAACCCATGCGGTGGTACTGTTACTACCTCTAATTTACAGATGCAGAAACAGAAGTTACAGAACTTGCCCCAGGCCATAAAAGTAGTAACTGGCACCAGCCAGGATTTGGACATAGGGAGTTTATCACCAGAGCCTATGTTCTTAACCACTCTGTTGGAGTAGAAACACACACAGTAAAATGAGAGTGATCACCCTAACTGGTTTGGCTCAGTGGATAGAGCGTCGGACTGTGGATTGAAGGGTCCCAGGTTCGATTCCAGTCAAGGGCACATGCCTGGGTTTTGGGCTTGATCCCCAGTTGGGGGTGTGCAGGAGGCAGCTGATCAATGATTTTCTCTCATCATTGATGTTTCTATCTCTCCCTCTCCTTTCTGCTCTGAAATCAATAAAAATATATTTGAAAAGTAAAATGAGAGTGATCTGGGTTTGAATTTCAGCTATTTGGCAGTCCAGTGCCCTTAATCTCTTTATTGTTCCGTTTCCTCATCTATAAAATGGGGATAGAAATAATAACTACCTCAATGAGTTGTTGTGATAACTGAATGCAAAAATGCATGGAGGGGATGCATGTTTGGAAAACAACCATTCAATGAACATTAGATGTGTTAACATAAAAAAACAAACAGAGCCCTGACTGGTTTGGCTCAGTGGATAGAGCGTCAGCCTGCGGACTGAAAGGTCCCAGGTTCGATTCTGGTCAAGGTCATATGTACCTTGCTTGCAGGCACATCCCCAGTGGGGGGTATTCAGGAGGCAGCTGAATTGATGTTTCTTTCTCATCGATGTTTCTCTCTATCCCTCTCCCTTCCTCTCTGTAAAAAATCAGTAGAAATATATTTAAAAAACAAGCAAACAAACAAACAGAGACCAGCCTTGAAAACTCCCTGAGCAGACCAAACCAGGCCATATACACAAACTTGACCTGGGTCGTTTCTTGTTATACCTCTGGGAATCATAAACTAAACAGTGTTTTCCAAGGTTGATATGAGGTAACCACTAGCCAACTCCCTATCATGTAAGAAAATTC